TCGAAACGGGCCGTATGAATTCAGATTCTGGCATCGCTCGCAAATAAGCTGCTGCTCGAGAAAGAGGAGGGTGCGCGGCTTGAAACGAGACGGGGGGATTCTTTGCTTGACGAATAATACGTGAAATGGAAAACGGAGAAAGTTCGTTCGGGGAGTGACCGTAAATTTTCGGCCGAAAAGCAATCCACGTTTCGATCGAGCGAGAAAAAAGGAGGAGGAGGAAGAAGAAGAAGAAGAAGAAGAAGGAGGAGAGGAAACCGTGAGGCTTTGCAAATGAGATTTTTGTTTCGATTTACTTCAACTCTGAACACTTTCACGGTGGTTGCGCAAAAATATTAATGTAAATAAATGAAAATGATTATGATATATTAAATGAATAATAATCGCGCGCATTAAATGAATAATAATTATTATATCGTGAAATTTTTCTAAGGACACTGTCAATTATATAAATAAATAAAATAATTTGTATAAATAATTCTCTCATGTACAACTGTGTTGTGTCAAAAACTGGTAACTATTATATAGTATATTATACAGTTAGTTTACTATTATATACTATTGTGTATTATACGATATAGTATATTATACGTATAGTATACTATAGTTTACTATTATATAGTAAAGTATAGCAATTGAGATTATATAGTAAAGTATAGCAATATGTATTATATGATATATGTATTATATATTATACGTATAGTATACTATAGTTTACTATTATATAGTAAAGTATAGCAATTGAGAAGTAAATTACTTAGTTTCAGGATTTTTAATTCAATCATAATAAAATCAAATACATGAAATTCATCTATCACCCAAGAACTAGTTTATTTATATAGTAAATATATAGTAGAGTATAGCAATTCAGAGTTAAATTACTTAGTTTCAGGATTTTTATAATTCAACCATAATAATATCAAATATCTGAAATTCATCCATCACCCGACGATACCATTTCGGGATTCAAATAATTCTCTGAAGATTCAAGTCTCATAAAAATAGACAACTGTAACGAATACTTTTGTTCATCGTTGCTCTCGTTTGGCCATTTTTTTCGCCTGACAATACATAGATAACACACGTGTTATCGAACATCCTAGATTTCGTGCAAAAATAAACGATCCTCCGAAATGTCCATTCTCATTTGTGAAGAGAGCAAGATTTGGAGACCCGAGTGGGGACCAAAGATCTAATTATCGAAGTCCTGGGTTCTGGTTCGTGACGAAAAAGAGAGAGTTTCTGTGTTTGCGTTAGACGCGGCATAGAAAGGTGCGATTTCAAACAACGTCTCATCCTTCCCTTTCTTCATCTACTTTTCAACGTTTCTATATATCAGTTACGGTTATAAAACTGATCATAGTATTACCCGTTTTCTCTAAAACAAACAATTAAAAAACAATTACAATAAAAAAACATTGCGGCGAAAGTTGAAACACAAAGTTGAGATAAAGATATAGATTTCGCTCGACCCTGAGAGCGTGCAAGCCTTGTCCTCGGCTTTCGAAATTTCCGTCGTTCGGTTCTAACTTTCGAAACGCGGCTCCTCCGCCAAGGACAGATTCATCGATAACCGATCTCGAAACGAAATCAAATTAAATCCAAAATAATATCAAAGAAAAAAAAAAAAGAAAGAAAAAAATTGCAAAATTGCTCCAAGTTGCGAGCCGGCGGCCGAGAAAACTTTTTTAATATCCAACCCAGTCGAAAACCAATAGGGAACGAACCGTTTCATCTTTCATATTTGTCGTTCGAGGAATCGGCGATACAACGCGAAGAATATCGATACGAGAGGCTCGAAAGTGTGCAAATAGATCGAATGTGAAGGGATTTGCGGGTCACGGTGGATGTGTTCAACATCCAGCTTGCTCTAAATTATGGCGTACGCCGTTGGTATCAACGGTTAAACATAATTGGCAATGATCAGCGCGGCGTGCGAAATTATTTTAGCCACGAGCGGTGCGAAACTGCAGTGTACGATAAAATTCCAATCTACGAATCCGTTTCACTATTGCACGTATATCTCTTCGATTATTCTGCCACGCACGTCGACAATTTTTTGCCCCAAAATTGCAACATTTTCACAGTTTTAAGTATACTTAAATGTACAAATGATAAGTTTATTGCTAACCATGTGATATCAATACCGACGTGAGTTCAAAAGAAAAAGAAAGCGACGAATTCTTGTGTACGGTTTGGTCGCTCGTTATGGTCCGCGAACCAGCTGCCAGCGCAATGGACTGAAAACTATTTTCTTTTATTAATTGAAGTATATTTAAATTTCGCGCGACATAAACTGCGACTCGTGAATTTTGACGATTTTTACCCGTCAAAGGATTAAACAAAGAAAGTTAACCACGCGACAGATTTGCAAATTTCAGAAATTTCCGTTTCACTGTTATATATATATTTCTTAATTACGTTCTTTCTTTTGTCGTTCCAAGACTTAAACACGTTCTAAAATCGAATCCTGGAACTGTTCTCTCTTATTAAACACATTTAAATCTTACGTACATAAACTGTGTTCCTTAACCTCTTGCCACGCACTTTGACAAAATTTCCCTGTCCCAAAATTGCGACATCCTCTCACAATTTCAAGTATATTTAAATATAATCCAGGTAACAGCAAATAATCAATTCGTTACAATTCCAATAACTTCTAACCAGCGATGTCAATACCGACGAGTTTCGAAACGAAAGCGACGAATCTCGTTGTATACGGGTTTGGTCGCTCGTTATGGTCCGCCAATCAGTTGCCCGGCGCAAGGGGTTAACGAGCTTTTCACTCGTTAAAGGATTAAACGAGGAAAGTCAACGATGTTGGAAATTTCCGTGAAGAATGCTGCTTTTGCGCTGGTATCCACCGTTTGCTTGGATATTGCCCCTATTTGCAGGAGGATCCCGTCGACAAAATACCCCACCGGGTGCGAGGTTGAGTTTCGGGCGTTGTTCCAGTTTGCCCGCTAATATCGTGTGGAAAGTGGCGGGTAGGGTTCTTGCACCGGTTGGAAAACGGAGACCGTGGAGCGGAGAGAGGTGGGCGAAGATGGTGACTGTGCAGGGTAGAAGAAACTACCATCGTTGAGAGAAGGGAGGTTGGTTTCATAGGGTTGGAAGAAGACAGATACGAATGGAGAGAGAAAGAGAGAGAGAGAGAGAGAGAGAGAGAGAGAGAGAGAGACGCACGCAGAATGATAGAGAAGAGGTGGGGGTTAGGTGATTGTGTTAGAGAGCGAGGCAAAGCGGAATGGAGGGTTCAGACGAGGTCAGGTCACGGGACGAGCTGCTGTGCCTCGGTCGATAGAACGAAGCTACCCACCTATGCTACACACCATGCCAGCCTATGGAGAATAAACACGTACACACGCATATACACGCGTGTGCACGTTGCCGGGAAAATATGAAATTTGTACCGGCCGCTTGAAAAACTTGAACCGCTCGACCCTACGGGAGGCGCTTGTATAATTTTTTGAATTACCGGTTATGGCAGACAAGAGGGGACCCCCTCCTTTCGTCCCTTGATAACTTCGATCCCGATTTTCGAGTCACGACTTTTCCCAATGAACGTTTCAAATCGCGAATCTCACGGAACGAAGAGTTTATTTCTGACAGAGTTACCAAGTTACGTTGCTTGCGAAAGGCGAGATTGCGAAGATCTACTATTCTCGGATAATTTACAGAGACATTCATTTCTCACGTGCGATTTGACTAAACAAAATGTGACGCGCGTTGCGTCATCTCTGAACGAATCTACTGCCAATTCTGACAATTGTTTTTCCGAGCACAATTGTTGATCCGCAAAAGTTCATTCGTCACTCTTCCGCGAAGAGATTTCCTCCCCCGGTGCGAACGATAGTTGGAAAATGAAAGCAGGAGGGGATGATATCGATTCGACTGATAGCAGCTCCATTCTTCGTAAAGACTTAATCGAGCAACCATCGGCTTCGGCCGTAGTTATTTCGATGCGAACACGGTATAAATCACGCGCCTTGACTTTTAACTGCTTCCCGGTACTCTGGCTGAGACACACGCAATTGAGGTATCACCGAGCTGGTGCGCGATTGGTCCCTTCTTCTCGTGATTTACCGCCCGGCTACGAGAGACAAAACGCGCGCACGTGATTCTTTTGTCTCCGACCGCGATACGATTTCGAGAGAGAGCGAAACGTTTATGGAAGCACCAGCTGCAAACAGTTGCAACGTCTGAAACGGGCGTTATAGGTGGACGAAACAGCGTGCGAAGTGCCGTTTATCGCAATGGAACTTTCAAACAGCTGTAACAAAGTAATTTGAAGACACAGTTCGCAACGTTTCTCTCGTCGAGAACGAACGAAATTTAATTACTCTCAAAGCTGAATTGTCAATAATTGAATAATTTGCGAAAAAATTAATTTGGATGCAGAGTGAGAGGAGCGAGCTCCTATTCTAGAATAGATTAACATTCAAGGCTAATTACAATGAGAATTACAAACTAAATTTCGAGGTCCGTTCGAACGTGCGAGTCAATTTAGAAATTTAGATAATTTTATTCCATTATCTCGCGAATTTGAAAAAAAAAAAAAAAAAAAAACAACATACAGTATTTTATACTTCGACTTGTATCTCGTTACTTTTGGGACACTCGCGTTTCGAAAACTTTTTGCCGGGAGGTGACATTGGAACTACAACGAGAGCAATTCGAAAATAGCTTGGATCTTTCGTATACAAAACGTACGCGCAAGTAAAGTGCGGTAAAAATAATTAAATTCAGCTTCTTTCTCTTTTTTTTCTACGCGTTTCGGTAATTTAATTTAATTTCGTCTACGATGGTTCTATCGTAGAACAGAAAACGACAAAAATTGTCAACGTGTCCAAGAGAAACATGTGAAGAAACAAAGAAGTGCGCGCACAACGTCCGGAGGATGTTCGACCTCACGCGTGGCCATTTCCCGCACTTCCTTGTCCGGTCTGCGGCCAGTTCGCCTCACGAGAGACTTCATAAGGTTCGCATTAAGGATTCAGGAACGGCACAGTATCGCGAGAACGCGCGAGTCGAGGCAAGTCGAGTTGGAGGCGGTCCAAAAGAAGCCGGTGCCAATCGTGGAAAAAGGAAACAACGATAGAAACAGACGGTCTGAAACGATCCGTCGCCGAATCGATCGATACCGCGTCACCGTGCCATTTTTTTTTTTTTTTTTCTCTATCGTTATTGATTCGTTGATAATGTCTTCAGTGTTGCGATCGCTCGTTATCAAGTACGTAATCTTCGTACACCACACGCGATTATAACCGCAATGAAACATATATATGAAATAGTTTCTCGTTTGAAAACTCGCACACTTGCCTCGCACTACGGACACTGTTTCAACGTGTTTCAGATAAAATTTAAAGATTCACAGTGGCAAAGTAAATGCTTCGTTAAGGAATGCGAAAGAAAAACGTAAAGTTACACTTAACTAAAACGATCAGACATTCTTCGTTATTTGATGTCGCGGTTTTTCATGTGCGAAAAACTGTGCAGACTCAAGTTCGCATTCACCCAAGCAGTTAATGTTAATTTGTCTTTTGTCACAAAAAAAAAAAATAAAAGAAAAAAA